ACGTCTGTGCAATGTTGGCAGAAGGTTTTGTTTATAACAATTAAACTTGTAGAGCATTTTGTTCTTAAAAGGACTGAGCCTTTCTGGTCGAGGGATGTTTGCAGTCGGAGGCAGCTATTAAATAATAATCAGTAGCATGTTCACCCTGCAAAGAATTTCTACTTGAAATCAGACAAGATTAATCAGAGGAGACTTCTCTGTTCACTAGAAATTTCAGATGGAGAGAGGCTGACACGGACCAGGAGCAGGCAGGATTATTCCAACATTTCAGCATTTTATGTTGTTTAGTTTTGTCTCTCATCTCCTTCTAAGAACATTCGGTTTTTATATACTGACATCGATGCTTAATTTGTTTGAAAACAAAGCCTCTGCACACATTCTCTCTGCATTGTTATTTACTTTACATTAGTATTTATAGTCCATTCAGCTGAGCTCTGGAGGAGAAGGCAACTGGCGTCCCAGGGAATGTGTTTGTGGAAGAGCAGCAGGAATGAGACAGCTCACAGGCACGGGGATGACTTCCAAGTGTACATACAGTTCCTGCACATATTTAATTTGAGAATCACCATGGCATCAAGATACATGAAGTATCAAGGATGAAGTCACCATCTTTCCTATGTTCTTAAAATCGTAATCCATGCAAACATATTTTACAGGCAATATTGAGTGCAGGCTTTGGTGCAGATATAAAAAGCCTGATAAGATCTCCTGCCTGCTGCACTCTGTGGGCTGCTGTCAGCCCCAGCCCCAGCTGCCCTGGGAGCAGAGCATGGGCTCTGCCTTCCACCTTGGAAGAGCTGTGCCTGCCTTGGTCCCTCTGAGCCTCCCTAAAAAAGCAGGATTTAAAGTGCACACTTACCACAACCCAGATTTCTTACGTGTTAATGGGGTAACACATGAGTACTGGTGAAAGTAACACCAGCAGAAACACACACCAGACTGAGCGAGCAGGAAAATCATTTCCCAGTAAAGCAAATCAGGTTCCAGGGGTAATGGTGTTTTACAGTTCTGCAACCTGATCTGCACGACCTACAAAGCTTCCTCTGCCAGGCTGAGGGTGGGATTCCAAGCGTGCCCAACAGCTACCTGCTCCAGAAGTTAATGGTAACTGATCTCTGGGGAGCAGAATTATCCCAAGCACTAAAACACCCCAGTCTCACCTTCTAAAACAGCTTTTCAGGACTCGGTTATTAGAGCTGTTCAAAATCCAGACAGCACGGTATCTGACATTTTTACTGATAAATTCAAGGAGAACAGGAAGTTCTTATGCTCCCAATCTCCAGCATGTGAGTTCTTTTCTGCAGATCTGCCACACAGCAGAGAGATTTTATATTTACACCATCAGCTGCTGAAGTGCACAAAGAAAGGAGATGTAGGCACGGCAGGATTATACAAAACAATCCTTAAACTACCCCAGGACAGGAGGGTTCTCCAAGGGCTGTTATCCCAGAGCCCAGCCAGGTCCCTGTGGCACTGATGGAGATTCCAGCTCCCCTCTCTGTGCCCATCCTCGGCTCTTTCTCTCCCACGTGAGCTATTTTCAGAAAACCCTCTTGCACAAGCAATGCCCCCGAGCCCCCTCAAGGTGGCCCATCCTGGATTAGACCAGTCTCCCCTAGAAGCCCATCCCAGAACTGCAGTTTTATTTCCAGCTCTCCCATGAAATATGCCTGTGCAATACACGCTGCTGAGCAGGCAATAGGTTAAACAAATTGATGATAAAGTATTCGACTTCGTTAGTTTTCATTACCATAAGAAAACATCAATTACATTTTCTATTTTATGAGTGTACACAGGGGAATCCATTACAGTAAGGGAGAGGCTGTACGACTCCTGCTGCTGCTTCTCTCTCAGCAGAAAGAACAGTTTGTTTCTAAAGGCAGCGACACCAGCCCAGAGGAAGGGAAGGCACACCGGCGTGTCTGCATAGACAGCTCCTGTCCTGATTTATCCAGCCTGGCTCCAACTAATTAAACATCTGCCTCAACCATTTCCTCTGCAGATTTATCTTCTCCAGTGTGCAGCACCGACTGGGTGTTACAGGCTCTTTGCTAACTTGCAGCCATTCCTGTGCCTCTCCCAGCTGGTGATCTGGGCACGTGGCAGAGATGATCCAGTGCTCCCATTAACCCCCGTGGGTGCCTGTGGTGGGACAGGTCACCAGGTCCCCCTGTCCTGCTGCAGGACAGCCACGTCCTCCAGGAGAGGACTGGGGGCCAGGCTCTCTGAGCTACAGCACATCCAGGTACTGCACCACCTGCCCTTCCCCTTGGCTGGCTCAAATACCATCATTTAAAAACGGTCAGAGTTCATATGTCAAAAGCCCTGAGACACTAAGGAAGAAGAATTGCAAGGAAGGTGAAATAGTTTGAACAGTTTGCAATAATTTTATCTAAATAGAGCTAGGCACAGTCAGAATATTGCTGCTGTTTTTTCAGGCCCTTTCTATGAAGAAAAGGTTCTAGCCCATTTCTGTCTCCTAATGATCAGTATTTTGCTGCAACAAATAATCTTTACTGGCTGAACAAAGTATTTGGAGAAAGCTAGCCTAGTGTTTTAGCCCTAGTCATGCTGAACAAACCCTTCCCAATTGTACCACAGGAATTCCTCAAATTTTCCTCACCCAAAGTAGCCAACCCAGGTTTGCATTTTCCTGCCAATTCAGGACCAGTCTGAAAAATGCCCTGTAAGTCAGTGGTGAAAACAGATCAGAAAGCCACTGCTTCTACCAGTACTTGACAACAGCATAAGCTGTAATGCAATAACTCATCTGTCCTGAAAAGGCTGATCTGGAGACCCACTGAACACAGGCAGAAAAGCTCATGGGCATTTCTGTTTTATTAAAATATTCCAAAAACTTTAAATAAACACGTCCAGCCTATTTTTAGTAACGACTTTTTAAAAATCAGACCAACCAGCTTTAAAGGACACATTGCTGAATGAGGAGAAATGTTTCTCCTAAATTATGTCTTATCTTTTATTCAGAACTTTGACATCCTAATCCACTGGTTAATAATGACCTGAAGCACCCTGGCCCAGGCCTGTGCAGTGCTAATGCTCTGATCTGCAATTCCATTTACCCCTGCATCTCCCAGTGACAGCGAGAGGCACATCCCCTGCAATGGCGAGGGATCTGGGGGTAGGTGAGGAATGATGGCAAAATCTTTCCTTTTGCTCCTGCTCCAGTGCCCACTGTGGTGGCATCCTGAGCTCTCCCTGCCCTCACAGCATGGCCAGCCCGTGGCAGATGGGACTGGAACAGCCTGTCTGGATCCAGGGAATTGGGAATAAGGAAAGGTTTGGATAAGCTAAGTTAATGTTAATAAAAAATTCTGATACATCCCTATATACCCTGTTCCTGAAAAGGGTTCTGAGCAGGAGGGCCAAGGCAGCAGAGGTGAATGTATTAGCTGAAGGAAGAAATGCCAGGTCCATTCCTTCTCTAAACTACTGAGCAAAAATAACAAAGTCAAAGCAGAATCAAATTTCAGATGGACAAAGAATAAAACATCTGTTACACGAAGGGGGGAAGCAGTTTAAAGACTGAGCTAAGTGAATCCTTTAGCAACCTCCCTTCAGGGAAGGGAAATCTGACCCCAGGAAATAAATAAAAGTCACCCAAAAAGTGAACAAAAGAGGTGTTTGAAAAAACCCCACCGCCATTCATCGCCGCTAACGACTTGTTCATTATGAGTGATGATGGATAAAGACTTCTCACGCTGAGATGAAATCAAGATTTATATGCATTGTTTCCTCTCCCAACTTGTGGGAAGATCATCATCATTTAATTCTATCTCTGCGGCCAGCGATGGGCATCCAGAGAGCAGGTTATCACACGGCGCAGTCAGCTGGCAGGGCGCGAGTGCCGCTGGCACATCTGGAGCGCGGCGCGCCGCCGGCCTGAGCGATGGCTGCTGGCCCCCCTCCAAATTGCTGCAGCCTGCCGGGGCTCCTCTCCCCCCCCAGCGCTGCTCCTCTCCTCCTCCCCCCCTTTTTTTTTTTTACGAGAATCAGATTTTCATTGCTCCATTCAATTGCTCTTCTCTGCCATTTTTTACAGCTCTTATCGTTCCCTTGGAATATGGCCTTGAGACAGCTCATCCGTGTCCTTCACTGTGTTATCTCTTCTAACTTTTATTAAAACTTCAGCTCTCATCTGAAGATAGCTAATTAAATCCATGACAGATTATACATGCATTTAAAAACTGCACTGAACTACTTTTTCTAAGGAGAACGGGGTTTATTTTCTTTTCCCATAGTTAAAACTGAGGGTGTATAAGGAGGTTTCATTCATTTACAAAGACAAGATCCTTATCTTTCCCACTATATAGATGGGTTTATATTAAAGTTCCTTTGTTGCGTGACAAGACTCGGTGCAATTTCTCTCAGTAATTATTTCTTGTTGCTGGAAAGATCTCTCAGCCTTATACTTCTGAAATATATACACTAACATATATGTGAATGCACATCTACCCCCCAGAAAAACATTGCTAAAATAGAAATACAAGCACTGTACATTTTCCTTTTTTAAGTGCTCATATGCCTTAACTATAACAGCACTATTTTGATAACATTGCAGAAAGTAAATTTTTCACTACAAGTAACAACGAATTCTTGAAATTATTTAAAATCACACTAAGCATAATTTTCTTACATAAATTAGAAGTATACATACAAACTCTATCATGGGCTGGACTTGCTGCACTTCTACCCATCATCCCAAATTACCATGAACTGGTCTTGAATGCAAATGGCTTTGTTATCATAAATAAATATTTGCAGGAATGGATATACTGCTCTGCAGCAAACATTATGCAGCTCCTGCACTGCCAACTTTGTGCCAGCATGGAGAACACAGACCTGTGCACAGAACTGCTGTGAGTGGGGCTGGGACACAACCCCCCAAAACCCGAGCAATGTTCACAACGGTTAAAAAGAGATATAAAATATACTCGTGGAGAAAACACCCTGCCCTCTGGAAAATACGATAAATAACCCACCTGAGCCTCTCTGTGATCCCTTCCTTCTCTTTAAGGCCTTTTGTAAGATATCCTTCATGGTGACCTTCATACTGTCCACCTGAATAAGTGAGAATCCATGAGCAGCATTTCTGCAAGACAGATGCACATGCAGTTTTACAAAACAATCATCACTGGCAGCTCCCCGCAGCCCTCGTTAGCTTCAAGCAAAGCACTCGTTAGGCACACGGTTAACGAACTTGGGCTGGAAGGGGAAGTTAAAGGGAGAAACCAAGCAAACTGCCTGAGCAAGGCAGAGACAAAACCAGCCAAAATGGGGTGAGATTTCAGGCAAGGGGTGTAAGGATTTTCCTAATTTATTGTTATTTTTGATCACTTGGCGTTCAGCATTAGAAGAGAAAAATGAGCCAGTGTACCTGGGGGGCTCCTCATCTCCTCAGCTCGTGCCTGTGCTTTACAGCCACTACAGAAAAGCTGCTTGCAGTGGCATTTTCACCCGTGTCCCACACGTAACAAACCCTTAGGGACAAGGGGCAGCATACCCCTCAGTGACAGCAGCTTTGCAGCACTACCGAGGTATTTCTTCAATGCATTATTCCCATTCTGACGGGGCTCCTTTGGACACGTGTTTGTGAACACAAAGGCACAAAATCTCCCAGAAAGATCCAAGGCAGTGGGTCCTTGTCCTGGCCATCACCCATGGGAGAGGCCACACAGGGGAGGGACTGCAAGGAGCACGGGGAGGGCTGTGGGGGACACTGCTCACAGACACCGAGAGGGGCACCCCTGGGGAAGCACAGAAGATGACAATATAATAGAAGAGACTCTGAATGAGCAGATCAGTAAATTTTGCCCCTTAGCCCTCGCAGTCAGTCTCGGCTCATGTCAGTAGATGTCACTGCAGACAGTTCCAGGGAAATCCGAGAGCTGAAGGCTCCCTCCGGAGAGATTGCTCTGCATGGAAAAAACTGGTTTGCAAAGCTATTTGGGCAGGAGGAGGAGCCTTGTATCTGGCAACCAGGAATTTTAATCAGGGAGTACAGCTCTATATGAACAGCACAGCTGGAATATTTTTAAAAGCAACTGGCAGGCGAAAGCAATCCAAGCAACACAAGTACGTCCCGCAAAACAAACCCATATTACATGTCACTTTGAAACACAAATGCTGGGACCAGAGGCTGGAGCTCAGGTCACATCAGACACGGCATGCCCAGCCCACGGTGACCCAGCCAGGACAGAGCCCCACTGCTCAGGGCACCGACTGCAGCGTGACCCAGGGGCCACGAGCCCCTGCCTGGCCACGTGCTGGTCACAGCTCGGTGTCCTGGTGCCCACCGTGCTCCTGGCAGCAGCAGCAAGCCTGGGCTCAGGACATGTCCCCCTGTCCCCCCTCGATGGTGTGAGATGCCGTTTCCCTCTCCTCGGTTCTGCGTTGGTCTCATCTGAATTTCATTTTCAATTCCCTTTGTTCCTGGCAAAATGAAACTGCCTAAAAGCCCAAATTTATGTTCTCCAGACCATTTATTATTTATAACTCTATCTTACTCGTCTTCAAACCAAATAATCCCAACCTTTTCATGCATCTGCTTTTCCCTCTGTTTGTGCCGTGTGTTCAGCACAGCAGGAGCAGAGCTGAGGGAGGGAGTGCCACTGCAGGTGACACTGCTGTCCTGGGAACAGCCCAGGGCTCAGGGGCTAACGCCTGCAATGAGCAGAGATCTTCCCCAGCACTCCACTGAGGAGCAATTTCCCTTGAAGCTGCTGTGGAGCAGCAGTTTCATGACCTGCACGAGCACCACACACCTGTCCTTTACCTGGCCAATCCCTCGCTTCCCAAAAGCCTCACAGCTTCAGTCCCAGCTGCCCTGCTGAGCAAGATTCAGGGGATTCTTTAAAGTGAAAAACCTATTCTACAGTTATAATCACAAAAAGGAAACTACCTTTGTGCTTTTATTTAAACAACACAAGGTTTCTCATTGAAGTGCTGCATGAAAAGCCCTCCATGCTGGACCAGACCATCACAACACCTGGTGCCTCCAGGTAATTCATACAATGCTCTGCAATATCTACAGGAATGTTCCGGAAAACTCCAACCAAAGTACAGGGAAATAAATTAAAATATTCCAGGGAAAAAAGAAATTGCAAAGGCAACAGAAGGCTTCCATAACCCGCGATGGCCAAAACAACCGGAGTCACAATTGTCCCCTTTGTACAAAACGCTTTTCAACATTGTTCACCCCAAACAGAGCAGGGCCTGCAGCCCCCTTCCCACTGGGCACAGAGTGGCCCTTGGCAGATGGCCCCAGCTCAGGGCTGCTCACACTCCCACGATCAGGAACGTCCCAAAAATGGAAGACTCTGTCTCAGTTCCTGACACTTCAGCTGCTGAAGAGCGCAGGCTGCTGTGTTCCGGGCTGGCCCGGCCCAGCCAGCCCTTTCCATTGAGCAGCTGGCCTGAGAACTGTCAGGCTGATTTCCCTGACACTCCATTACTAACCCCTGCCCGAGCCACGGCCATTCTTTGCCTCAGAAGCTGGATCTCATCCCAGAACAATCTCTGAAAGTTTATTTTACTGATCAAAGCAAAATAAGAAAGCCTGTGCGTTTGGCTATATTTAGCGTGCGAGCCGCGAGTGAGCGCTTGGCAGGAGCGGTGGGACGCGGAGCGCGCCCCGCTCTTGTAAACTCTTGGCTGTTTGCTCTGGAGCAGAGCCAGAGGGGCTGGACCCCCACCCTGCTCCAGCTGCTGCCCTCCCTGCCCCGGCCCCCCTCCCACAAGGCACCACCGCCACGTCAGAGCAACATTTCAGCACTCGGCAACCCCTCACATCTGAGCCGGGGTGGACTTAGGCCCAGACCAAAGAGCTCCCGACATCACTCTGGGGCCAGGCCAGAGTCAGAGCACGGTTCTGTGCCCAGAGGAGATGCCCCATGGAACCACAGATTAGCTGGGGTGGGAAGTGACCCCTGGAGATCCCCCTGTCCAATCCCCTGCCCAGGCAGGGTCACCCGGAGCAGGGGACACAGGAACACGGCCAGGTGGGTCTGGGATGTCTCCAGAGAGAGAGACTCCAGCCCCTCCTGGGCAGCTGTGCCAGGGCTCTGCCACCCTCCATGGAAAGGAGCTCTTCCTCACGTTGAGGTGGAAGTTGCTGTGGTTTAGTTTAAGGCCCCTGCTCCTTGTCCTGGCACTGGACACGCTGCCAGGTGTCCTGGGGCTGTGCTCAGCACTGGAGCTTCTGGAGCACCACCAGCCCAGCCCAGCCCTGCCTGGTGTGGCCCCAGCAGAGCAGGCTGGGCTGGAGAAACACACAGCCACCTCAGCCCACCACTGCCCAGCGTGCTCTGCCCTGGCCATGGGCATGGACTGTCCTCACTCAGCCCAATCCCAGCACATCCCTAATTGCAATCACTAACAATGTGTTTTACCTCCCTCTGCTAAGGTGCGATACCTTCCTTTTAGGTCAGCACACTGAAAATAGGACAGACAAGCAGATGCTGGTCAATCAATTAAAAGTGCTGCTGGCAAATTGGAAGCCAAAGAAATTCCTTAGCTTGTATTTTCTGTCATTTTGCAAAAACATACCTGGGTGACAAGGTTAAATCAAGCAAAGGAAATCCCTGGCACTTATCATCCACAGGCATTACTGATAAATTGTGCAGTGGAGGAATAAAGGATTACCTTCTGTATTTTTTCATTACACTTTTCTTTTGTTACAGAATACATAAATCCATTGTGGCACAATGTAATATGTATCATCGTGCTACACCTGTGGACGTTTCATAACGGCTGCCATGTCTGTGCAGTCAGGAATGATAAGTGAACCACCCGTGAATGTTAATGATAGTGATCATTCTGCAGTAACTTGGCTTTCCATCTTCTTTTACAGCCTCCGTGCTGGAGCCAGGGTGGCAAGGTTCAGGAGAGGGAAAGGCAAGCAGCAGCACAGGCAGAAGCTCTCCTCGTGGTGCTGAGGTGCCACGGGAACAGGCAGGGTCCCCCCTTCTGCCACAAAACAAAACAACCCACGCTGCAAGGACAAAGGGTTTCTGCTCTGAATCAGAAGAGAACTTTTTGAAAAGCTCCTTTCCAATCTAGAGAAATTTTTACTTTTTTTTTTTAATTTTTTTTTTTCTTAACACAGAAGTGGAATTTACTTTCCAGAAGTGGAATTTATAGCACTTAAAGCTCACTGCATAACCAGCTGGCATGGCTGGAAGTGCCTGGGAGTGACTAATAGCAATTTCCACTCGATCAGCACAAAGTCAGACTTTAGACTCAAAATCCCAGCTGATGCAATGGACTTACCTTAAGCTGGGTAATTTTTTAGATAAAGTGCACAGTGATAGGAACTGGACTAACTAATACCAGCCACAATTTTTATTCTGAGCCTGAATGACCTGCTTTTGTGCATCTCAGATTGGCCTTGCATAGCTCTGGGCACTATTGAGTTCAACTGGCTGCATTTTAACACCACTATAGCAGTCCTTAGCCCTTTATCAAGTGTTCTGATGTCCTCCTACCCCTCCCTCTCCACTATCCTGGGAGCCACATTCTTAATTTTGCACCCACATTAACTGTCTGAAATTTTATATGAATATTCTAAAATGTACTTTGCAGATTACCCACCCCCATGCACAAATCAGGAACAGGCCTTTTGGGGACTGCTGCTGGAGTCCAACAAAAAACACATTTCAGGGCTTTGAACTGAATTTGCAAAAGCACAATGCAAGTCTGGTATTTTAAAAGGGTTTCAAACCTTAAACTATTGGGTATGGCTTTGAAAATTTGTATATAATAGTCAAAGCAATTTAAGTACAGTATCAAAACAGAAAAAAGTGCTACAGAGCAGAAGAACTGGATGCCAAATTTGCTCTGTGTGCCAACTGGCAGCTGAGCTACAGCTCCTCGAAACACCATTAGATCGAGTGTGTCACGTTCCAACAATAAAATTTCCAAGGGAAAAAGCCCTAATGATGGTACAGATTTATTTTAAGCCATTCAGGTATGACCTCAGCTCCTCAAGAAGCCTGTGTTCCCATGGATGTGGTGCTCTGCTCGCCTCTCCCTGGCAAACCCCCCGGATGGAGCATGGGGTGCCGTGCCTGGGGCTGGACAAAGCTCTGCTCTCCACAGCAGCCCCTTCCAAACACACAGCTCGCTAGACTAATGGGCACTGAGCAGCCAGAACGACTGCCCTCCTTCTTCTCCTTGTGTAACTTTGCCAGAGTCCTTGGAACTTGCCAAATTCGGTCATGCCTGCTTAGCTTGCTCGACTGATTGTGCCAGAAAAGAAAATAAGACACAGATGTATTTGAGCTCTTTGAGATGCCAGTAAGAGCGACAGCTAATGGCTTCATTTCGACCCTCCCCTACCAGCTGGGCACAGGTGGGGGGATAATGAGGTCCCTCTCCCTAATCAAACTCAATTATTTACTACTCTGTACAGCCACAAAGACATCCGCATCCAGCTCGCAATATAAACTGCACTGTGGGCTACTTCCAGCCACCACCTCTGGGTATTTACAACTGACTCGAGTGGCTCAGAGTTTGCCTTGGCAGGAGTGAAGTGTGTAAAGTTCTGCAAACTGTTTCTGCTCACACCTGTCCTGCAGAAGGGGGTCCCTGGCGGGGCTCAGCCCGCGAGGAGGAGCATGGTTCCAGCACGGAGCTCCTCACAAGCATCAACATTTTTCAACAGTGATTCAATATTAATAAACATTACAAGTCACAAGGCTGACATGGCAGCAGCTGAAGTACTTCAGCACGAGGAGGAGAAAAAAAAAGAGATGCAAAATATAAAACCACAATTACATGCACCGGTAGGGTGACAGGGGAGGAAGAAGACATAGAATTTACAGCAAATCCCTACAAAAATAAGACAGCACACACATGTAAACTCACAGAGGTAACAACCTTTTGATCAAGTGATGATCAAATAATTCTTTATTCTAGGGGACACATTAAAAATTCTAATTTAAACCTAGCTATTTACACAGTAATCACAAGCCATTTAAAATTAAAATGCGGATGCTGGCACCACCAAACTGACCCTTTCAGAAGAGCACTGCTCATGATGCAGCTGTCCTATTTCTCCTCAGCAGCACCTCCAAGCTAGAAGGGAGCTCCTCACATCAGCACAAATGATGGTAAACGAAAAGATTTTGCATTTTTCTGCAGCTGGGCCCTTCTCCTGCTGCCTGCTGCAGGCAGAGCTCTGCTGGGCAGCCCCAGACCCCACTGAGATCTCTGGGCTGTCACAGGAAGGGCAGTGCCACCTCTGTGAGCCACCCCAGACCCCACTGTCCCCATGGGAAGGACAGCCCCAGCCCCTGACCCACCCCTGGTCACTGCAGTGAGCACCGAGCCCAGCTCAGGCACCCAGGACAGCTCTGGGGGCACAGCTGGGGAAGGACACTTTATCCAGATGAGAAATCAGCAACAATTTAGAGATGTCCATTGACAATGACCTCCCCTTCCTCACCACGGCCTCAGTGCAGCACAGCCCAGCATCTCAGCCTTGAATAACTTACTTGTGAACACTGGGGCCAGAATATTTTATTTCCCAGTGCCCTGATGCAGTGGAGCAAAGTGAACGTGGCCTTTGGGAATACACGTGGGATTTCTGACAATGGCTTTCTGTAGGATGCTTTGCAACATCGCTAAGAAACACAGTACACAATAAAGAATATAAAAACTAATTAAATAAGCCAGATTTTTTAAAAAATGTCTGATTATTCAGAACTAGAAGCAGCTGTAGTGCTAAGAAATGTAAGTAATGTCCAATAACCAGGAAAACCCTATTAGCATTTTCATTTCAAGAGCTCCAAACATGAAATATTTTTCCCAAGTAAGAAGTGGCTTATGGTCCTGGCATTTTGTTCTAGTAATTAAGGCCTTCTGATGGTTTAAGAGATTTTTCATTCACAAGTAAAAAAAAATAAAAGTGATCAAGCACAGTATATATCCCTGGATATAGCAAAGGACAGAGCAAATTCTTCTTGATCTACAATCAGACAGCTGATGTCTCAGGGGTGGGTGGGGCGTCTCTCACCGATCTCTTCTGGATTTGGGAGGGGAATGTCCAGTCCAGCTGGTGTGCTTGGTTACTGCGTTTTTATTCTCACTGTTATTGAGCCACATTGCAACTATTTGTCTATAAACCACTTCAGTGCAGAGCATCACCAAGGAGCGTGGCCCCAGGTGTTGGTGAGGTCAGGAGAAGGGAGGCAGAGGAGGAGGAGGAGGAGGAGGAGGAGGAGGAGGAGGAGGAGGAGGAAGAGGAGGCGGCTGTGCCCGGCCGGGTACTCACATGCGCACGAAGAGCGACTGCTTGGCTGCCAGCCCTGGGGACGAGTACTTCTCCACCAGGGCCAGCGTGCTGAAGCCAAACTTGTGGATGGGCTCGTTGGAGTCCAGGGGCGGGAAGTCCGTGTCCACCTCGCCGTCGTCCTCGGCGATGTGCAGGCAGTAGGCGCTGACATTGTCACTGCAACAGAGGGACAGAGCGACTCAGCACAGCCTGCGGTGGCACCTGCACGGGACACCTGCACGGGGCACCTGGACAGGGACACCTGCACAGGGACACCTGCACAGGGACACCTGCACGGGGACACATCCATGGGGTCATCTGGACAGGGACACCTGCACAGGGCACCTGCACGGGGCACCTGCACGGGGCACCTGCACGGGGACACCTGCACAGGGCACCTGCACGGGGCACCTGCACAGGGACACCTGCACAGGGACACCTGCACGGGGACACCTGCACGGGGCACCTGCACAGGGGCACCTGGACAGGGCACCTGCACAGGGACACCTGGACAGGGACACCTGCACAGGGCACCTGCACAGGGACACCTGCACGGGGACACCTGGACAGGGACACCTGCACAGGGACACCTGCACGGGGACACCTGCACGGGGACACCTGCACAGGGCACCTGCACGGGGACACCTGCACAGGGCACCTGCACAGGGCACCTGCACGGGGACACCTGCACGGGGCACCTGGACAGGGACACCTGCACAGGGACACCTGCACAGGGACACCTGCACAGGGCACCTGCACGGGGCACCTGCACGGGGACACCTGCACGGGGACACCTGCACAGGGCCACCTGCACGGGGACACCTGCACAGGGACACCTGCACAGGGCACCTGCACGGGGACACCTGCACAGGGACACCTGCACAGGGCCACCTGCACGGGGACACCTGGACAGGGCCACCTGCACAGGGCCACCTGCACAGGGACACCTGCACAGGGACACCTGCACGGGGCACCTGGACAGGGACACCTGCACGGGGACACCTGCACAGGGACACCTGCACAGGGACACCTGCACGGGGACACCTGCACAGGGACACCTGGACAGGGACACCTGCACAGGGCACCTGCACAGGGACACCTGCACGGGGACACCTGCACAGGGACACCTGCACGGGGCCACCTGCACAGGGACACCTGCACGGGGACACCTGCACAGGGACACCTGGACAGGGACACCTGCACAGGGCACCTGCACAGGGACACCTGCACGGGGACACCTGCACAGGGACACCTGCACGGGGCCACCTGCACAGGGCACCTGGACAGGGACACCTGCACAGGGATACCTGGACAGGGACACCTGCACAGGGCCACCTGCACGGGGACACCTGCATGGGGCACCTGCACAGAGCATTGCTCTCAAATGGCACGGTGACACCACACAAACGTGTCCCCAAAGGTCACAACATGTCCTGCTGCCACAACCCTGTGGTGATGGAAAAACCCCAAACCTCAGAGCAGAGCAGTCTTCGTCCTTCACTGCTCCACAAACGAAACCGGACAATGATTAAAATGCACTAAAATCTGTAAAAGTTTTGTGATTTTGTAAAGCAGGAAGGATATTTCTCCATTTGTGAAAATTTATTTATTTATATGATGACCACACTTCAGAGCTGAAGGCAAACAAGTGGTGTCTGTGATTTCTCACAGGTCAAACAACTGTGGAAGCTTTGTGTCTGTAGGCTGGAGAAGCAGAGAGTGCTCTCGGGCAGGTGAGCAGGGTAATGAACTATGGGAAAAGCAAATATCTATCCAACACAGCAGCAATGATTAGCAGAACACTTACCTTTCTAAATACCTAAGTTCAGTCACTAAAAGCAGTCACAAATTAATAAACACCAACAGGCAGAACTAACACAGAAAGCTGAAACAGATACAATGTGAAAGAAATAAAGAGCTGAGCCTCTTTCTTTCCACAGATGAAAGTCCAGAGGGAAACAACTATTTATAGCTACCAAACAGGTATTAATCATAATTTCCTAACATTGAAATCTATTTCAAATGTTACTTCAGTTTAAATTATTGACCTGAAAATAAGTATTCTTTCTGACTGTAAACCTGCCAGCACTCAGGCCTTTCCCCAGCCATGCAGTAAAGCTGGAGATGCATGTGGCAGCGTGTTTCTAAACTCTGCAGTTTAAATTTGGAGTTTTAATTGCATGATTGATGCTTAAATTAATTAATTGTAAAGTGTATGCTAATTGTTTAATTGGTCGCTTGATCTATATAGATCATTTTTTGAATTAAATGAGTTGATTTACAAAGTTTATTGATTGGATGTGACAATGAATTATTTCACTGACTACCTGATTTGCAATTTTCTCAATTAATTCACAAACCTTTGGTTGCAACTGTGCTTTATTGAGAGTGCTTAGTCCAGGTGATCTATAGGCATCTTGTCATGACTAAGACATTTATTATAGAAAACAGGGAATAATGATGCATTGCTGTTAATGTAAGCTGCAATTCTGCTCACCAAAGGTAATTCAGCAACATTCACCACTCTGAATTTTGGAAATTCTGCAAACACTAGCAAAGAAACTTTCTGGCCTTGAACCCGTCCAGGGATGGGGCAGCCACAGCTGCTCTGGGCGCCCCGTGCCAGGGCCCCACAGCCAGGAATTCCCAATTCCCAATATCCCACCCATTCCTGTGCCCTGTCCCCCCCTGCCTTGTCCCCAGCTGGAGGAAGGCCCAGAGCACAGCCAGCAGGTCCCAGTGCCACCAGCTCCTGCCCCAGCAAACTGGGAACATCCCAGCACTGCTCACGCCCCACAGAACAGAGGGGCTGCAGATGTCTGCACTCATGGGCTGCCTTCCTCAACACATTTAGCCACCATGTGGTAAAAAAATAAATAAAAAAGTCCAGTGAGTAAAACTGTTCTGCACTTTGAACCTCCCCCAGGCTGAGGGAGATTGAATTGGGAACTTACAAGCTCAGCACAAAAAGGAGAGATTCACTCCTCACTTCTAAAAATAGCAATTCTATTTGAATTGTGCATCTCACTATTAATTTCTTCCTAGAAAGGGATTTTGTTTATTTTTTGCAGGTGGAATCATTCCAGCACATCTGTCAGGGGCTGGCAGGAAAGTGCTGGGTTACAACCCAGGTCCATGTGTGGGAGGCCAGGGACAGGGCTGCTAACCCTGCCAGTGGTTCCTGGAACCAAGAGACTGAATAGAGACAAATACAACACAATTATAATAAAAAGGCAGCCTAATTGAATACAGAATGTTCTCAAAGCTGTCAACTAGTGCTCATTCACTTCAGACTCTTACACCTATCTTTTAGGAAAAGGAATTAGGCAGTAATATATTCTTTTCCTAAAGACAGAAGGGGTTGTTTCTCCTAATTATAAAGTCTAAAACCTCCTCATTATTCTCCCAGTGTCACTAGCAGGTATAGCTGTCACTCCGCATGCCTTGCATACCCATCTGAGGCATTCTGCAGATGGATTTCAGTGCAGTGCCACAGTGATCCCCATTTTGTCCTTTCACACTCCCACCTGACTGAATCAGGAGCAAATGGCCAATGCAGAATGGGCACCCTACACGAGCTCCTTCTTTACTTGGAAATATGAGAATTAGTTTGCAGTTAAATCAATCCTTGCTTCAGGACTGGCACTCAGCAATGCTAACAAAAAGATGATGAGAAATAATTAAGGACCTACAAGAAAAGGAACTTCTTGGAAACTCGGGGCTCTGGCCTGAGCCTTTGTCCCCAGAGTCTCAGCTGCTGCTGCTGTGTCTGACTGTGCTCTTGGGAGCTCACGCCTCCATTATTTATTTTATTTTATTCTCTCTGCCTGAGATTTGATTACATTGGACAGCCTCCTTGCTCATGAGCACTTTTTGACACATCATAACATCTTATCCTTCAAGGCAGACAGTGAAATTCATTTCTTCCCACTGTTGCCTTTTGCTGTGGGCAGTGATGGTTCATGGAACACTCCACTCACGGGGGCTGTTCCATTTGAGCTCTGCTCTGCTCCTGAGAAATATGTGTGTGCCCAAAGACTGACATCAGCGCAGTCTTACTCATTAAAAAATAGCCTAATCATACACAAAGGACACTTCTCTGAACTTGTGATATAATGAGCAAAATTAATAACAGCAAATGAAATGGCACCATCTGTGAATAATTTTATATTTCTTCTCCAGAACATAAAAAAGGACAAATCAAACCCAAGCGTTAAACCCCAGAAACATTTCACATGTCTGTTGAGAAGAGCTAAGGAAAAATCCATATCCAAAGAAAGAACATCCATGGAAGTATTTTCAAGAGGGGCTGCTTTCCTGTGTGCCCTATCTGTGGAACAGAAATCAGCAAATCCAAACCTGGGAGCCCAAGTGCCCTGACTCCCATTCCCCCCACAGCTGGGCTACACCAGCAGCTAAGGCTGCTGAGGCCTCCAGGGCTCCTGAAAAATGCTGAAAGAGTGAGCTGTGAAATTCAGGATGAAAAAACCCCCACCCTATTTATTCAATATTCCAGGAACAGTAAAAAAGTGAAATTTGGCTCATATAGAAATAACCCAAACAAAACTATCAACCTCCTTGCACCAGGGACATCCCTGCCAGTACCTGACAACTCTGTAATAAACCACTTTAAGTCCTTATTTTATGTTCTATGGCCCAGCAAAACCAGAAGTATTTTACACAGCTGTTCTAAACTAAAGCTGCTCAGGTGAGCTGTTCTGAAGAACCTTTCCATGCATCTCTTGTCATCTGCCAGGAAAAAGGAACAAAAGGAACAGCTCTTACTAACCACCAGCAGTGCTCCAGCACAGCAGAGGGACTGCGAGGAGCTCTGGACTTTATCTGACTTCTTGTCATCTCAGCCTTTAAGGACACTAGCAAAAAATAGATGGGACATGGAATAACAAATGCCTCTGTGACACCAAAAGAGATACAGTTTGCATTATTTTTACATAGTTTTGAGATGATGATTAATTTACAGGCCCAAGCCCTCCTGTTGATCATTTCCCAGCACACAGCAGCTAATTGAAAGAGAAATGGCTGGAGGTGCCCCTGTGCTGCTCGGAGGGAAGTACTGCTACATGTGAAGGTGCTAGGGTTATATTTCCAAACACTGACACAGAAATCCGTTTCAGTACGCAAAAAGGCTGCAGAGGAGAAATGGAGAGGTCAGGAGGTAGTAAAGAAAGAGCATTACTTCAGCTTGGGTTCCCGTCCCTCACTTGTATATTGCCAGCAGATGAGCCCGATCAGGTCGTGCACCTTGGCGTTGGCGATGGTCACCACGGTCATGGGCTGCAGCTTGTCCTGGCTCGTGTGCAGGGGGAGGTAGACATCGATTTTTTTGGTTGCCGTTGTACCAACGTGGCCCTGGGGAGGAAACACGTTTCATCAGGATGTATCAAAAAGTGTCACAGGGCTTATACACAAAATCTGGGCGGGCGGAATTCGGCTCAGCAGGAAAACCAAAATATGCTGCTATGGCTTAAAATTGGAAGGAGATTAAACATTCAAATTCCAATTATTTCCCTGCTGTTTATTGGTAAAAAGGACATGAAATATCTGGACATGATTTCACAGATTTCCATAAAGAGCCTGAACTTTGCTGCAGGATCCCATGTTCCTGCAGAATCCAAAAAATGGAATTATGCGTGGGATGGAGAGGAAGAAGGACAACAAACCAGCCTAAGACTTCCAAATTGTTTCTGCATTTCTGCTGTCTTCTGCAGTTCTTCCCCTCCACCCGAGGAGCCCCCAGAGGGAGCACAGACACCCACTCCCCAAGGCTTGGCCTTGGCTTGCCAAGAGCAGAACAAAACCACACACACAGCTGAGCCACTGAACTGCTCTGCTTGAGGACACCAGCGAGAATCAACCATTGTTGGGGTTTGCTGGAACTTACCGGATGAAAATAGCCCATTTGGTGCCCTGGAGACTGACAATTAAATAAACCATAAAGCACACAGTAACACAGATCTATGACATTTGCATCACAAGAAAAGGATGTTTAATCCAGTGCAGGTAGGACTGCAGCTTTCACCCAGAAATCTTCTAAACAAACAAAAATTGCACATCCTGACCCCTCTTCCAAAGCACCCCAAGTAACTCTGTATCTCCATCTCTCTCCATACTACAAGGGCCTTGAGAAGAGAAAGGCCTTCTTGAATTAATCACTTGGAATTCTAAGTAACAGAATAAAAGGATTCAATGCTATAAATCTATAATGAGAGCATAAAACAGGGAGTTAAATGCCATGTGCTAATTTCAATATATTGTTAAAAACCATTTGATCCTTCAGTGTGATTATAAATTAGAGAAGTAATAGGAATTTAAAGATTAAAGTTATTCATACTGGCACAGCTAAAAGTATTATTAAAATCCATCCCAACATAATACATTTATTTTTTAAGAAAGCATTTTTATAGAACAGATACCTCCTCTTCCCATATTTTTAGGGTAAGAAGAAACCGGTTTGGCTAATTTAAAGGAAGGGTTAGGATTGCAACAGAACAGGGGACATTCCTGCACTCTGTTTGGATAAACCTGAACAAGCTTTGGTTGAGCTCATGTGCCCGGGACCCTCTGGGACACCTTAACCCCACGAGGTCATGAACACAACAGAGCTGCTAAAAATCACCAGGGTGGGCTTCTGTCTGTGCTTTTCTACTTCCAGGACTTATTGTGAAAGGGAAATGAGGTGGTGCCAGGTAACAGCTCAGGTGTGTGTGCCCAGGTGCCCACACCCAGGCACGGGGGGCTGCGGGTGTTGGTGACCTTGGTGCTGCCCAGAGACCCCCGAGCTGAGGCTGCCTTGGCAGGAGAAGGAGCAAACAGCAGGAAATTAATGGCACTCCTTGGCACACCACGCCAGTTACACACGTAAATGCAGGGAGGACAGAGGGACACTGGGCACAGGGACAGAGGGACAGAGGGACAGAGGGGCACTGGGACACAGGGACATTGGGACAGAGGGACACAGGGACAGAGGGACACTGGGCACAGGCACAGAGGGACAGAGGGGCACTGGGACACAGGAACAGAGGGACAGAGGGACACTGGGCACAGGGACAGAGGGACACAGGGACACGGGAACAGAGGGACACAGGGACAGAGGGACAGAGGGACACAGGGACACAGGGACACGGGAACACAGGGACAGAGGGACACAGGGACACGGGAACAGAGGGACACAGGGACAGAGGGACACAGGGACACGGGGACACAGGAACTGAGGGACACAGGGACACAGGGACACGGGAACACAGGGACAGAGGGACACAGGGACACGGGAACAGAGGGACACAGGGACACAGGGACACAGGCACAGAGGGACACGGGGACACAGGGACCAGCTGAGGCCAGGCCTCAGAGCCAGCCCAGGGACAGCTCCTGGCTCTGCAGGGACCTGCAGCCTCCTCTCCAGGAGGAACCACTCGCAACCACAGCCATTCCTGGAACCACAATTACTTCTGGCTCCCAACTAAAAACTGTGTTCCAAGTGGAAGTGCTGAGGAAACCCAGAAGATAAAGGACAATTACCAATATTCAAAGAGGCAGCATCAAACTTTATTAATAGATCCTGTATAAAATTCAATGGAAAATCTATTCAGGGCCAGGGGCCTTACCATTTGGAGTTTCCTTAATAGCCTCCAATAAATCTGGGAAGCATAAAGGGGCTGTTAAATTAACATTTTCCTGATCTGTCACCTGTGGCACAGTTAATTTGTCAAAAAATTCTTTTAGCTTGTCACTGGACACTGTATATTCTGACAAATGAAGTCTGGAATAAAATTGACAAAATATCTCGTTAATTTTCTAGGAAATCACAAATCTGATTCCATTAAGCTTTTATTGTTAGAAATGTTATATCCCACCAATCCTTTAAGAAAGTGAGGAGTAACTGGATACACTGAAAATGTACAATAAATCATAGAAAATTTTCCTAGTGTTTTTATTGATGGACTCTTTTAAGGCTCCCTGGTGCTCTCCTACAGTATGTCAAATTAAAAAAAAAAAATAATTATTTAAAATTTATCAGTCCTTCCAACATAAGATGTCTTTCTAAGATTGAAAATCACATTTTAAGTGAAGTCCATGAGGGAATGCACCCCTCCCTCATGCACCAGGTGGGTGTACCTTGGTCACTGACCCTGGGGAGCTCCCCATGCACAGCTCTCCCCTGGCAGCCCCTGCAGCCCCTGCAGAACAGGAGGGGCACACTCAGGCACAGGGCGCCCTCCTCACTCCTGCTCTGCCTCACCGCACACCAGGCACAAAATTAAAACAAAGTCCATAAACATTTCCAAGGGAAAAGTGATTGATTTTCAACACTGACAATTTACTGCCTCTTCCTGCACAATGGAGTTCTGTGACTAAATGTTATATCACTTTAAGATTAGATGTTCTAATGATATAATGCAAAGATTTTACTGAATCATTATTTAGTGGGAGTCATAAAAACCTCTAAAAATTAATCTTTCATGCACATCTAGCTTACCCAAAGTTAGCATTTAATTAGATGGCCTTGGCACGAATGAGCTTACTACTTTATTTGCTCAATCAGTATACGTCTCTTCAGTAATTATAATTAATTCAAGTCATTGACTCACCTCCCAGCAAACAACGCTAAACACTGCACAAAATGGAAACAAATGCCTTTCCATTCCCAAATGCAAAATGTCTTCTCACTTTTAAACTCAGTTCAATGTTTTTTGGTTTGGGTGACAGGGTGTTGACTGCACTCTGTGACCCAGCAATCACCTCCACAACATAACTTACTCGCTTCTGTATTTAATTGACACACAGAAAATACTTGAAGGGGGAAAGTGGAAATAGAGTAACCCAGTATTTACAACACACAGAAATTTCTAACAGATCAGAGCACAGATGTTTATGGCAATATAAGGGACCATATTTTTTCTTTTTTCTTTCCTTCTTCAGCCCACCCCACTGTTCCCCACCATGGCAAGACTGGAATGGTGTTTGTTTCATCAGGTGGTTACACCAGCACTGGGGCTTTCATCACTTTGGGCACTCGGTTCCCCCATTTATTCCCAAACCAAGGTGGAGGACACCCCAGTGTACCCAGCACACTGCCAGCCCTGCAGCTCCCCAGTGAAGCCCCAGAGCTGTTCCCTTCTGAGGAGAGCATTCTCCTTTGCATCACCCCAGCTTGTGCTGCACAGTTAGCAGATCACGATGTAAAACTCCATTAACATCATTAAATACTTAATTTATCTTATTCGCACTGTCACTATTCATAAAAATTTAACCCAGTAATTTCCTGTTATCCAAAGCATAACAAAGTATGAATATTTAACTGCAAGGTAAATAACACACTATTATTTTTTATTCTAAATTGTTGACTCCAGTTAGCATGCCTGCTCTGCAGAGCACCAGGCGATTTGTCAATTAGAGGTCCAGATGTTGTGCAGGCTGCAGAGGCAGCAGCAGCTCTGAGCAAGGCGTCCTCTGCATGGCAATGATCACCACAGCCCCAGCTCCAGGCTGCATTACCATGCTCATGTTTTATTCCAGCCCCCTCCTCATGTACCAGTTAATTATACAGCACACAGCTGAGAGACATCCCCTCCGAGCTGGACAGGTTCCTCGCACCTGAACACGTCCTCACACTCAGAGATTTACCAGAGTTACAGACATAACCACACAGCCCAGCACCCGCATCACTGCCTGCTCCTGTTGGCATTCACTCCCACAATTAATAAAATTATGTAAGTCCTGAGCAAAGAATAAGACACATAGAGCTGGTAACGGCACGTTTCAATTATAGTAACACACATTCATTTGTACAACTCTCTGTGAATTAAAATCTGGTTTACTTGGAGTGCTATTAATGTGAATTCTTAATACTGCTTTTTTTCTGACAAATGCTGTGTGGAGGGAGGGAGAAGCCCCAGGTCCACCCCGTTACAGCCCAGGCTGTGTTTTTGTCCATGCAGGTGTCAGATTTAGGACAAATGGCCCTGTCCATCCTGCATTCTGCCCCACACTGGCTCCCTCTCCGTGTGCCCAAGCCAACACAGAGGGTGGGATGTCCCACCGGCCCTGTGGCACCAGCTCAGCCTGCCCTGCAGCCCTGGGATAAAAACACATTGATCCAAGTGTTGCTGCTCCAGCTGCAGCAGAAATGCATTCATTATCCCAAACCATCCTCGAATTCCTTCTAGTGAGGAGAAGAAACAGCCTCTTTAGAAGAATTATACATATTTTACTCAGTAATAAACATTACAATTTAATACGGAGGAATAGAGTTTTTCTTTGTAATAACAAAATGCAACCAAAACTTATAATTAAAACTGCACCATAAACATTATTTGTGCGTTAAGGAACGTGCCACGATCTATTTTAAC